ACTTTTAAAAAATATATATACTGATGTACTGAAATACAGAGAAATCAACTTGTGAGTTCAATGCATGTTAATATAGTAAGTATAGCATGTTTAACAAAAGCACATTCACAAATGGAAAGTATCGATGTAAATAAATCATATGGCAGTAACTCTGCTGTACTTTCATTGTGTAAAAGTAGCTCACGGGCCAAAAAAGGTTGGAGACCCCTGCAATAGATCGTTCAGCCCTAGTGGATGCTTAGATGATTGTTTAAAGTTTTCTTTCAGCAAAATCTTCATCCACAGAGCTCACAGGCAAAAGGCTTCGGTCCTTTATGGACTCTTTTGTGACCGTTTAAATTTGTCTTTTCGCTAAATCTTTTCCACCGAACTCACAGGCGAAAAGCCAGTGTGGACTCTCATGTGTCTGTTTAAAGTTGTCTTTTGGCTAAATTTCTTTCCACAGAGCTCACAAGGAAAGGGCTTCTGTCCTGTGTGGACTCTCATGTGTCTGTTTAAATTTGACTTTAAGGTAAATCTTTGTCCAGAGATCTCACAAGGAAAGGGCTTCTGTCCTGTGTGGACTCTCATGTGACTATTTAAAGTTGATTTTAAGCTAAATTTCTTTTCACAGAGCTCACAGGCAAAAGGATTCTGTCATGTGTGGGCTCTCATGTGACTGTTTAAATTTGACTTTAAGGTAAATCTTTGTCCACAGATCTCACAAGGAAAGGGCTTCTGTCCTGTGTGGACTCTCATGTGTCTGTTTAAATTTGACTTTAAGGTAAATCTTTGTCCACAGATGTCACAAGGAAAGGGCTTCTGTCCTGTGTGGACTCTCATGTGACTGTTTAAATTTGTCTTTCGTCTAAATCTCGTTCCACAGAGCTCACAAGGAAAGGGCTTCACTCCTGTGTGGACTCTCATGTGACCGTTTAAATTTGACTTTAAGGTAAATCTTTGTCCAAAGAGCTCACAAGGAAAGGGCTTCTGTCCTGTGTGGACTCTCATGTGTCTGTTTAAATTTGTCTTTTTGCTAGATCTTTTCCACCGAACTCACAGGCGAAAAGCCAGTGTGGACTCTCATGTGTCTGTTTAAAGTTGTCTTTTGGCTAAATTTCTTTCCACAGAGCTCACAGGCAAAAGGCTTCTGTCCTGTGTGGACTCTCATGTGTCTGTTTAAATTTGTCTTATGGCTAAATCTCGTTCCACAGAGCTCACAAGGAAAGGGCTTCTGTTCTGTGTGGACTCTCATGTGACTATTTAAAGTTGATTTTAAGCTAAATTTCTTTTCACAGAGCTCACAGGTAAAAGGCTTCTGTCCTGTGTGGGCTCTCATGTGACTGTTTAAATTTGACTTTAAGGTAAATCTTTGTCCACAGAGCTCACAAGGGCTTCTGTCCTGTGTGGACTCTCATGTGTCTGTTTAAATTCGACTTTAAGGTAAATCTTTGTCCACAGATCTCACAAGGAAAGGGCTTCTGTCCTGTGTGGACTCTCATGTGACTGTTTAAATTTGTCTTTCGGCTAAATCTCGTTCCACAGAGCTTACAAGGAAAGGGCTTCACTCCTGTGTGGACTCTCATGTGACTGTTTAAATTTGACTTTAAGGTAAATCTTTGTCCACAGAGCTCACAAGGAAAGGGCTTCTGTCCTGTGTGGACTCTCATGTGTCTGTTTAAATTTGTCTTTCGGCTAAATCTCGTTCCACAGAGCTCACAAGGAAAGGGCTTCTCTCCTGTGTGGACACTCATGTGACTGTTTAAATGTGTCTTTCGGCTAAATCCCGTTCCACAGAGCTCACAAGGAAAGGGCTTCTCTCCTGTGTGGACACTCATGTGACTGTTCAAATTTATCTTATGGCTAAATCTCGTTCCACAGAGCTCACAAGGAAAGGGCTTCTGTTCTGTGTGGACTCTCATGTGACCATTTAAAGTTGACTTTAAGCTAAATTTCTTTCCACAGAGCTCACAGGCAAAAGGCTTCTGTCCTGTGTGGACTCTCATGTGACCATTTAAAGTTGACTTTGAGCTAAATTTCTTTCCACAAAGCTCACAGGCAAAAGGCTTCTGTCCTGTGTGGACTCTCATGTGAATGTTTAAATATGTCTTTTGGCTAAATCTCGTACCACAGAGCTCACAAGGAAAGGGCTTCTCTCCTGTGTGGACTCTCATGTGAATGTTTAAATGTGTCTTTCGGCTAAATCTCGTTCCACAGAGCTCACAAGGAAAGGGCTTCTGTCCTGTGTGGACTCTCATGTGTCTGTTTAAATTTGACTTTAAGGTAAATCTTTGTCCACAGATCTCACAAGGAAAGGGCTTCTGTCCTGTGTGGACTCTTATGTGTCTGTTTAAATTTGTCTTTCGGCTAAATCTCGTTCCACAGAGCTCACAAGGAAAGGGCTTCTCTCCTGTGTGGACACTCATGTGACTGTTTAAATTTGTCTTTTGGCTAAATCTCGTTCCACAGAGCTCACAAGGAAAGGGCTTCTCTCCTGTGTGGACACTCATGTGACTGTTTAAATGTCTCTTATGGCTAAATCTCGTTCCACAGAGCTCACAAGGAAAGGGCTTCTCTCCTGTGTGGACACTCATGTGACTGTTTAAATTTGTCTTATGGCTAAATCTTGTTCCACAGAGCTCACAACGAAAGGGCTTCTGTTCTGTGTGGACTCTCATGTGACCATTTAAAGTTGACTTTAAGCTAAATTTCTTTCCACAGAGCTCACAGGCAAAAGGCTTCTGTCCTGTGTGGACTCTCATGTGACCATTTAAATTTGACTTTGAGCTAAATTTCTTTCCACAAAGCTCACAGGCAAAAGGCTTCTGTCCTGTGTGGACTCTCATGTGAATGATTAAAGATGTCTTTTGGCTAAATCTCGTTCCACAGAGCTCACAAGGAAAGGGCTTCTCTCCTGTGTGGACTCTCATGTGTCTGTTTAAAGTTGTCTTTCGGCTAAATCTCGTTCCACAGAGCTCACAAGCAAAATGTGTCTGTCCCGTGTGGACTCTCATGTGTGTGGTTAAATTAGTCTTTTGGTGAAAGCTTTGTCCACAGTGCTCACAGGCAAAATGTTTCTGCTTTGTGTGGACTCTCGTGTGTTTGTTTAAATGTGTTTTATGGCTAAAGGATTGAAACCTGGCAGCATCAGTCTCCTTTTTCAAATGGAGATGCTCTCCCTCCATACTAGACCAGAGTTTCTCCTGTTCCTCCTTTTTGTGGAGAAAATCTAGGTGCTGGTGGTTGACACGAGCACTCTGTTCTTCTGAAGCTTCTTATTTAACCAGAACCACCTGTTGAAAATCTGTAGGAAACACAGAAACATTATGTGAATGACAGACAGCTGTAACTTTGTTTTCACACATATAACAGTTGTATTATTTCTTTAAACTGACAGTAGAATGAAATGTATTTACAATTGGAAACTGAACTTTGAGCCTCTATAAATCATATGAGCCTTAACCCTCAGGCTTCACTTTAATTATCATACAAAAGAGTCATTAGAGGACAAAAACGTCCACTTGTAAAAGTGGCTATAAAAATGTATAAAATAATGTTTTTTTTTTACTTTTTTTTCATAGATCTGTTGAACAACTTCAGCCCTGCTCAAACATAAAAAAATTCAATCATTTTGAGTAGGGCTGCTCAATTAATCGAATTTCAATCCCAATTACGATCTTAGTTTTGAACGATTATAAAAACAAAACAAGCCGGTTATTTGCTCCTCCAACTTGCGCTGCCCTGAGTTGCAAATGAAGCGCTCCTCCCACAGTGTTGCCAACTTAAGCCCTTTTCAGATAGACATTCTGGAACATTTGCGGCCAATTCAAATCCTAAGATCATGAGGCGCTTAAGCATAATTCTGCGCACACGAAGACGTATAAGAGACCTGGATGATGAAGCTCAATGGTTAAAGGAATCACTGAAGCGGTGTGAAGCGCTCCGTCGCGCTTCTAGACGGTACCGTAGGAGGCGAGCTGCCGTGGTTCGCCGCCGCATGCTACAGCAGCGGGCTATTAGGTGCGCAGTGCGCACAGCGTCCCCCGGTCCCCTCCTCCTCCCCCTCCCCCTCCCCCTTGTCCGGAACTCGACCTCACCAGTCTGAAGCAGCCACCTTGTCCGTAACAAGTCCGGACCTGTTACTAGGGGCTTCGTCCGGTAAAGTTCCGGAACACGTTATCTGGATGTTTGTATTCAGACAGAAAGGTCTTACGGACAGAGTCCGGAACATTTCAGTTTTTCATGGCCTGTCTGAAGGGGGCTTTAGTGACTTTGATGCTATTTCTAGCAGCTTTTCAGACCCCCTTCTTTACTTTTTAAATCCTAAAAGTACCTAGCGAACACCCCAGAAAAATCTCTGGTAACCCTTAGCTACTTTCTGGATAACTAGCTAACCTGCAGGAAATGTCAACGGTAAACACTCCGCCTGCGCTCCGGACCGTTCTTCAGGACATTAGGAAAGGGAATAATGTAGTGATGTGTCAGTCGAGTGACACACACCGTACCTGCGGGCTCCTGAGCCGATAAAAACACCTAATGTGAGCGTGCTTGCCCCTGATTGCTGTGAGACCGGGTTGGGGCGTGGGGGTGCAGCTGTGGTTGGGACAATTATTACATTAACCGATGGATCTGTAAATAAATAGTTTATAAATAAGGTAGAAATAAGTTCCTCACGCTGATAAATAATAACTAATCTCTCTGAGGACACGGTGCTAGTGCACGCAGGTTTAAAACCCCAAAACTGACTTCACTGAAGGACTGGAAATGATCAGTTTAAAGACTGAAGGCAGAGAGGAAAATTATCTTAGCCTGACCCAAACAAATTCTTGTTATTGAATCATACGCCCTGGTAGCCTTGAGCTACAAGCAACTAAAACCCCCACGAAGGAAAGCAGACAGATGCTGTGAAAACCCGACCTGTGACTGTAGAGTAGATGAGCGCCGTAGATGGCTGCTCTCGCTGGGGGAAACAGGATCCTAGCCCCCCCTGCCTTCCTATTGGAGTCTCATGTTATGTTGTGATGTCTGAAGTCTGTTGCTTATCTGTTAAGGTGTTTTTTTGCAGAGCAAAGCTGCCCTCCTGGTGGAGGGTAACTCTGAAGTTCCTTTTTTCCCTCCACCTGAACCAATCCTCGTGTAACCCTCTTACCTCTATTAAGGTAACGCGACTCGGGTTGCGAATGACCACAGTCACCAATTCTTGTCATGTGTCTTGCCCATGTATGTCTGATCTCTTGCCCATGTATGTCTGATCTCTGGATTGTGTGTACTGAAACTCTAATTTCCCTCTGGGATTAATAAAGTATTGATTGATTGATTGATGTACTGTTCTTTGGAGTGGGGTTCGTACCTCACCACTTTTGGCCTCTTCCTGGGGAACTGCACCTTCGTCGGGGTCCCTTTAGGAGTCTGGTTTGTTCAACGCCAGGTGGTCTCTGTACGGACCACCATACCATTGAAAAGGGGGGGTATGTAACGAAATGAAATGACCGTTTCCCCCTCTCCTCTGACACAGAACTAGTCTGCATGAGATATTGCCCCAAGGTCTCATGCATTTGCTCTAAACTGTTTTCCTTTCCAGCCCAAGAGAAGAATGAAGAAAAGGACTCTCTCTTTTTAATAAATCAAAGAACTCTATTTTTAATAAAGCTAATCAAACAAAGTGTTAGTTAATAGCAAGATGTGACCAATCTGTGAAATGAAAATATTAATGACTTTATTATAATCCTATAGAATATAATAAGTAATATAACTTTAAATGTTCCCACTAGGACTGATCTCACGTAGCGTTAAGACATGACACATTTCTTTTACTGATCCAAACAGAATCTGCCAGCATCCGAAGTATAAAACTATGCCCACGTCATCTTTAACGCCAGTTCAAAGCGTTCGAGAGAAGTTGACGGAGTGGCCAATCCGTAACTTTCCTCTTCAGCCGAAAGAACCGACAAGTTGGATAAAACCTGTTGCTGTTCCACCTGCTGCAACGGTTCCTTTCAGAATAAAAGCTGAACCATCATGACTGTGCCATTGAGAGCATCCTCACTGGATGCATCTCCGCCTGGTATGGCAACAGCACCGCTTACAACCGCAAAGCTCTCCAGAGAGCAGTGCGGTGTGCAGAAAGGATTATTGGAGGTGAGCTGCCCTCCCTCCAGGACATCTACAGGAAGCGGTGCCTGAGGAAAGCGGGGAGGATCATCAAGGACTCAAGTCACCCCAGCCATAAACTGTTCAGACTACTTCCATCAGGAAGGAGGTTCTGCAGCATCCGGTCCAGAACCAGCAGACTGAGAGACAGCTTTTTCCATCAGGCCATCAGACTGCTGAACACATCGCAGACACCTCACCCTCACTACTGAAACTCCAACATTACACGCTCCATACTGTACATTAATGCCACTGCTCTGCACATACCAACCTCTGATTGTATATTTTATATATCTTATTGTTTACTTTATTCAAATACTTAGATTATCCATTTTTATATTTTACATGTTTTTAGATTACTGTATTTTTGCACAACTCTGTTGCTGTGAAGCTCGCACACAAGAATTTCACTCGCATGTACTGTACCAGTGTACCTGCACATGTGACGTGACAATAAAAGTGATTTGATTTGATTTTGATCTATGGTTGGTGCCATCAACGTCCTGATTTTCGATTCAACCTCAGATTGGAATCCCAAGTCCCATTTCAAGAGATGTCGTCACCTTTGGAACTCTCCTTCAAACAAACAACCAAGGACTCTGCTACAATCTACTTCTCTGTCTGGCAAAATTCTTCATACATAAGCAAAAAATACTGAAATCACCCCCTGTGTTCAATGCATTTGTACATGATTTTAGATTGTATCTAAGATCCCTTAAATGTATCAATAATAACTGTTAGGTATTTTTAATTGTTCATTATTGTTGTGAAATCTTTTCCTTTGTCTATGTGAAGAGTTCATTCACCTTTGCTGCTTAAATGTGGTTAGGAAAAGCCCTGACCTAGTTATTTGTTTTCACGTTTGGGTGTTTTAGGAAACTCCTTTCTGCTTTAGGCATTTTGATCCAGTATCTGAAGTTTTCCTGTGCATTCTAAGACCAAGATGTTATTCCAAACTGGTCAGGCAGGGGTTTCACGCTAATGGTATTTCTGGGTGTGTATGTGCAAATAAAAACCCCTCCACAGCTTCGGCTCCTTTGTGAGAGGAAAATGGCTTCCGTCTTGTATGGTCTGATTCTTTCTCACCCGTTACAAAGTGAGCTTTGTAACGTATGTTATGGCCTTGCAGAGTTTGTTGTCTGTTTAAAGGTTTGTTACAGATTACCAAATTAAGAATCTAATCCCTCTGTGTGTGTGTTCGGACTTCCTTTAAGGTAATTTAAGTTTAAGGTAATATAAGAACAATAGTATAAATTAAATTACGCAACATATTCTTTGAAGAATGCTAAATTAAAATACCCAACAATAACAGCTATGAAGGGGGCACCGCACTCCTGTGCCACCCTGGGACGACGGTGGCAAAGGAGTTAAGTGCTCGCCCCGTAATCGGAAGGTTGCAGGTTCGAGCCCCGCTCAGTCTGTCGCTGTGTCCTTGGGCAAGACACTTAACCCACCTTGCCTGCTGGTGGTGGTCGGAGGGACCGGTGGCGCCAGTGCTCGGCAGCCTCGCCTCTGTCAGTGCGCCCCAGGGCAGCTGTGGCTACATCGTAGCTCATCCCCACCAGTGTGTGAATGTGTGTGTGAATGGGTGAATGACTGATTGTGTTGTAAAGCGCCTTGGGGGGTTCCAGGACTCTAGAAGGCGCCATATCAAATACAGGCCATTTACCATATGTATAGACTTTTTTGTAGACTTCCTGGAACTGTGTAGTGGTCTCTTGCATTGTTTTTGTGGGGTTTTTTTTGTTTTGTTTTTTGTCCTCCCCCTTTTCACTGACTGTTCGATTCTCATCTGAATACATTGGCATGTTCGCCTCATTTGTATGGTAAATATGCTTTTCTGCAATAAAAAAAAAAGAAAAAAAAAACGTCCTGATTTTCCCCCAGGCTCTTCCATATCGGAGCAGGGCTGTAACTGTCTGTGCGTGTCTGTCTATTTTTAAACGTAGCACTGGTGCAACATCCTTGAATTACTATTTTCCCCAGAACTTTATTGAACAAAAAGTAAGTTACGTGTAAGAAAATGCTTTTTACTGGCGCACAGTGTGGTCATCTGGATGCAGTGGAGGAAAGTAAAGGAACCAGCAAAGGCACAAAGGCAGAACCGGTGTCGGTACAAGATCTGCTCGGGTGCAAAATTGGCTCGGGGTCCGT